CATAAGCTTTCGTGGGCTACTGCCCACTTCTTCGGATGCATATGCTCTAATAAATTTGTTAGTCTCTAAGGTGCCACAAGTACTCCTGTTCTTTTTGCATATACATCAGTATTAGGGTGACCACCTTTGTTGGATAGAAATAAGGGAAAACCACATGAAAAATAAGGGTCAACACTTTATTTTAAGAGACATTTTAAGGAAACACTTCTTTCCTTAGCATATCATGTATTTTTCTCTCAAGTGTATATTTCTACTGCCCTCAAGTAGACAATGCAATTATCTTAAGCTTCAATTTAATATTTAAAATGGTACTTATCAGTTTTAATACATTTCAATTAATCTTAAAATAAAGGATGGATGGTAACCCTAAGGAACAAATCAATGAAGCAAGGGATGGTCCTTTAAAATAAAAGATGGGTGATCATCCTAATCAGTGTGCATGAAGCCCCCCACAACAGTGTGTGTGCCCATCCTCTCCACACACACACAGATGCTGGCATGCATGAGGTCCCACCTTTCTCTCCTCACCACACACTAATGTTTATGAAAAAACAACTAGGAGTCTTGTGGCACCTTAAAGACTAACAAATTTATTAGGGCATAAGCTTTCTCTCTTTTTATTTTCCATAGCCCACAAAAGCTTATGCTCTAGTAAATCTGGTAGTCTTTAAGATGCCACAAGACTCCTCATTGTTTTTGCTGAAACAGAATAACACGGCTACCCCTCTGAAACTAATGTTTATGAGGCTCCCTTAGACTAACACTGATATGTACAACATTCTCCTCCAACGTACACTGGCGTACATAAGGCACACACACACTGGCATACACAACACTCTACACCAGCATGCACAGCGTGTCCTCTTCACACACACACACACACACATCTCCCTGCACAGAGTACTCTCTTCAATGCGCCCACATGCTGCCATATGCAAAGCCCCCACAACCGCACACACACGCTAGCATGCACAACCCCCCACAAAACCGAACGGACAAACACATGCACAGAGCCTAGGGTGACCAGACAGCAAATGTGAAAAATCAGGACGGGGAGTGGGGGGTAATAGGAACCTATTTAAGAAAAAGACCCAAAAATCGGGACTGTCCCTATAAAATCGGGACATCTGGTCACCCTAACAGAGCCCCCCACAATTGCACACACATACTGGCCTGCTCAAGCTCTCACTCTCTTCTCATACACACATAGAGATGACAACTCTCTAGGATTGGCCTGGAGTCTCCCAGAATCAGCATCAATCTCCCGGTGACTACTGAAAGCAATCTGGGAGATTTTAATGGGCTATTTTAAGAAAATGACATCATGTCATGTTGGGGGAAAAAATCTCCCAGAATAGCTTTAGTCAGAGTTGGCAACCCTATACACACACTGTGAGATGCAGGAGGCCCAACATGGCATGCAGGTGGTCCCCTTATGCCTTCTCACTGCAACCCCCAACATACCAACACCTTCCCTGCACAGGTGCGTACATATTAATCTTACCTCATACACATGCTCCAGTACCCACATCACCTATACTTTCTCCTCATCTCCTTATCAATTTATTTAAATCTCACCTCAGTGACAGGTTTAGTCACAGGGGCCCCCTTGGGACTGTCACCTGATGTGCTGAAATTACCTCTGAGCCTGATTTCCCTGCCAGCTTGGGACTTCCAGAATCCTGTCTTGTTGAGCCAAACATGCTAGCCTGCTACAACACAGACCCAGGGTCTGGTACTCACCCCCAAAGTTGCAGACTAACTGAAAACAGATCAGCAGGTTACCTGTCTCCAGCACCCAGTTCCCAATGGGATCCAAACCCCCAAATAAATCCAATTTACTCTGTATAAAGTTTATACAGGGTAAATTCATAAATTGTTCACCCTCTATAACACTGAGAGATATGCACAGCTGTTTGCTCTCCCGGGTATTAATCACTTACTCTGGGTTTAATAAAATCACTTTTGTTTATTAGATATAAAAAGTAGGATTTAAGTGGTTTCAAGTAATAACAGCCAGAACAAAGTAAGTCACAAAGCAAAACAAAACAAAACACGCAAGTCTAAGTCTAATACGTTAAGAAACTGATTACAGGTAATATCTCACCCTCAAAGATGTTCCAATAAGCTTCTTTCACAGATTAGACTCCATCCTAGTCTGGGCCCAATCCTTTCCCCGGTACAGTCTTTACTAGATCCAGCAGACATCTCAGGTGGTAAGGAGGGGTTTTCTCATGACTGGCAGCGTATTTTGTCCTGCTCCACCCCCTTTTATAGCTTTGGCACAAGGCGGGAATCTTTTGTCTCTCTGGGTCCCCACCCCTCCTTCTAAATGGAAAAATACCAGATTTAAGATGGATTTCATTATCAGGTGACATGGTGACATGTCACTGTAAGACCCCTAGTCTCCATTCCCCATGGGCTGGCCCACAGGTACACAGGAAGGCTTTCAAGTAACTAAGGCCATTTACAACTGATTGTTTCTGGAGCACCCTTAATGGCCTCCACTTAATATGTTTTTACATCAGTGATACAAATTTATATCTTATTCTCCTAACTCCAGATATTGAAATAATACATGCAAACAAATAGGATGAACACACTTAGTAGGTTACAAGCTTTCTAATGACACCATACAAGGGGTATTTAGCGTAAAGCATATTCCAGTTGTGTCATATTCATAAGCATATTTCCATAAATCATGTGAAGTGCAATGTCACAACCTCCTTCCCATATGTTTATATAAGTCTATTTAAAACTTCCTCATCTCAGGTTCTGATTGCTATCTCCTCCCTCCTATGTTCTTATACAAATCCCCACATCTCCCTCTAGCACCTCCTCCATGAACTTTCAAACTGTCTTTATTCCCATTCAGACACACAAAATCCTTCAGCTTACACTGTTGCCCCCTTCCACTGTACCATATACACAGGGCCGGCTCCAGGTTTTCCACCGCCCCAAGCAGGAAAAAAAAAAAAAGCCACGGCAGCGCGATCACGCCTCTCCCCTCTTCGGCAGCAATTCGGCAGCAGGTCCTTCGTTCCGAGAGGGACTGAGGGACCCGACGCAGAATTGCCACCAAAAACCCGTATGTGCCGCCCCAATAGCAGCCAGAGTGCTGCCCCTTGGTTTTGGCCGTCCCAAACACTTTCTTCTTTAGCTGGTACCTGGAGCCGGCCCTGCATATACAAACACAGTCCCTTTTGCCTCATGCCCTTTTCACTCTCTCACATGCAAATCTCACTTTTGCCTTCCATCCTCCTCTAATTCCACGTCATCTACACTTGTCTAATCACTTGTGCTTCCCTTCCACACGTACACATATCTTCTCAATCTCACCTTTCCCTCTCCACATAGTGCTCAAATGCACT